TGCCACGCATTTGTGAGTAGTTTAATTTCTTAATAAATGTTAACATAATGTTCTAGGATTTTGATTATTAAATAATGTTTTGTCGAATCTTCAGCTAATTACACGCAAGGAAATGAATGCCCAGCTATAAGTTTTTACAACGACTGCAATCTCTGCGTCTGTCACCCTGAAGGCGTTTCCGCTGTGTGCACAGAGCTGACTTGTTCCGAAGCGGATATCATGCGCATTGGTAATCAATCATATATTCAAGAACACGTTGCTCTAGAAAAAAAAGCTGTAGGTAACATTAACATTGATAAATTCGAATTTCTTTCCAGACAATTACATACGCAACTTGGGGTACTACGCCAACCACTCGCGAGGTGTGGAGCGCAGCTGTTCCTGCTCGGGCAGTTGCGTCTGCTCCGGCAGTTCGTTTTGCTCGGGCAGCGCGGTCTGCTCGGGCAGCGCGCACTGCCAGGGCAGCGCTGTTTGCTCGGGCAGTGCGGCCTGCTCGGGCAGCTCACAATGCCAGGGCAGTCCTATTTGTCATGGTAGTCCCGTCTGCTCGGGTAGCGCCGTCTGCTCGGGCAGCGCTACTTGCTCAAATTAGCGAGAAGAGGAGTTCTTCGGAAGATTCGAGCACAATACTCGTTTTATTTGAGTTGCATATCGATAAAGAAATGGTAGTCCTGATTGTGTGACGACTATTAAAATGCGTTCGTATTGCTAATCTGTCTATTTTGTAAGATACAACTGTATAACGTGTTATTGACATTGTATAATAAATAAATATATATCAATATAATCCATCACTTAAGGGGAAATCGTAGGAGCTGTAGCGTCAGGTGGAAAATTCGAAAGTCGAAGCACTTATTTCAAAAATAAAAAAAAGCAATCAAGGCCCAAAATATGAGTAGAGCCCCCTATTCAGGAGCAATATTTTTCAACAAAATACTTTGAGAAAAGTATACTATTTTTAAGCGAATATAATATACATATTACGTGAATTTATAACAGTCCTTATCTTATTACCTTGCAAATTTTTTTCATCTCGGAATATTTGCCAAATTAAAAACATATTAGTGCGATTCATAACATCTCACTTGACCCTTAACCTTGCGCGTTGTTGCATTTGACAGTTGACACTTAAAATTGCGCCATATTTCTTTGTTTTTCGAACCGTTGAACCGAACCGAAACCCCGGTTCAAAGACCAAAAAAACCGCTTTGACAACCCAATCCAAAAGTGCAACAACGGTTCGAACCGCTGAACCGAACCGACCAAATTTTTCATCCGGTTCACGTCCCTGGTTTTAACCATCATCATATGTGTGTGGTACGACCGTGTGGCCTTTAAGTTTTACAAATAATAATTTCAAGGTAGAAAAATACAACTGAATAATAATTATTAAAACCAATATATTTGATCGAAAAAATAAAAATAAATTTCTTTTGAGCGAATAAATGAAGCTGTAATTACACTCGTTTACAGAAAAAATATTTTATTGATACAAGCTTCATTTAACTGGTGTGGGGTCCACTGATATACATATGTATTGGAAATAGTACCCAAAAAATAGTAAAAATAATTATAATCTTTCTATTACCCCAAAATGCATGGCCGCAATTGGCATGCAGAAAAAGTGAGGTTATGTAAGTGACATCACCTTATATTTATTTCACCATGGCAGAAACTATGATACAAATAAGGTAGTTTCATTTCAAAATTTTTGACAAAAAATAAGTTTTTGAAGTTTCATAAATTGTACAAAATTATGCGCTACCTTGCCACATTGATAGCAATCAAACAATACATTACAGGATTTATTGTTGTGCGTGGGAAATGTTCGGTTATTTGTAACTAGTTACAATAATTATTTTCGCAAAGAAAAATTAAACTTGCGTTAGGCCATCAGCAGTATTTTTGCGCAAAACTCCTATGCGCGTTGGTGGCCTTCGTCCGCGCTAGAAAAAATTACCTCATCAGTTCAATTCCGGTTACGCCATCCAAAGTATTTTTGCGCAAAATGCACCTCCAAATTTACAAAAAAGTGCATATTTCAAATCGGAACTTTTTTTAATTAAAGCCTAATCCTTTGGCTAGACGTATATGTTAAAAATTTTTGATTCAGTCATGTGAAGCTAACTGTGTTACTTATGCATTTTTCTATAAACAAAAATTTTATAAAATAAAACTGCAGTAGTTTTCATCTTATGTGGATAATTCTTGTCACAAATACAAGTTTCGAGCTTATGTTTATGTACATATATATATTTTTTTTTAGCAGGGCCACAGTTGTTGGTACTGTTACAAGTTGCAGGGCATCATTTTAACTCCACCTCATTCCTCTTCCACGGATAACGGTACATCGTTTAGAGGTTTAAAAATATTTTGCGTCGGCAATTTTTAATCAAACTGCGTTAGATCCTATTATGTACTCTATCCTCGGAAAAGCAAAAAACTTTGTTTTCGAACCTTTGCGCAAGTGTACCGAATTCTTGCAGTTTGGAAACGCGCAAGAATTTTCTTTTAATATTTTCAGCCAACTTCACCAACTTATTTTTTTTTTTACTTTTTCAAGAAACACAAATTTTGCTGCTAGAGAATCCGGTAGCATGATTTTAGTTAAATGTCTTATTAAAAGTCATGTGCTCGGCAACAACAACGAATGTCAATAAATGAAACTACCTTATATTTTTGTATCATGAGCAGAAACTTGCAAGTTAGAAGAACAGCTGATAGAAATTTTCTTTACATTCAAAAGTATGCAATTGAAAACGTAAGAAAACAAACTCCGAAGTCTTATCCTGACACAGTTAACTGACTAAACGAATAATTGCTTACTTTTTACAAGTTTAGTTATCATCAAATTCAATTTAGGAAAATACCGTTGGCTAAAATTTTTCCATCAGAAACTAGCAGCTTTCCCTCAAAATGAAATGTAATTTTGCTCTCTCAATTTCCCCTACTTTGCGAGTATTTTTTGTGTACGCGAACACTAAAAGCTGATAGTTTTTTAACTTTCAATAACACAGGTTTACAGAAAAAAAGTGTAAGCATATTAAACCAAATCTGTATATCCGTATGTTATTCGACACGCTGAATGCGAATCCGAAGTCCGTTAGTCTCCATTACGTCAAGTTCGTGGTCAGTTGAAGGTCAAGTAGGAAAAAATTCATTGAATGAACCTGAAAATTCATATATATATAAGGTTTTAGATTCGCTGAACCCGTTTCCGAGGTCCATTAATCTCCATAATGACAGCTTCGCGCCAATTTGGCGATGTTTTTTTTTTGATATTTGCGCGTAAAAATTTAGAAAATCGCCATTGGCGATTTTTTCCATTCAAATAAATGTTTTCCAATTATAAAAATATACAAAACTTAGTTTTCCGTGATAATTTTACAGAAGAGGTTAATGAACTGCGTGATAAACTTGACTTAAGAAGCATATTAAAAACAGTCAAAAATTTTTGATCAGTCTAATCGAAGAATTTTATTCAATTAAATACTTTTAAAAAAGGTTCGATTTTGTCATCAACTGACTTTGAAGGAAAGAAAATCAGCGGAAAATGAATATTTAAATCTTTAAGTTTCCCATAGAATAACTTTTTTCAGAACCATTCCATCCGACTCTGAAGAATTTTGGATAATTGCTTACGGAGTGAAAACCGCAACAGGCAATAAAATGTTTGGAAATATAAGTAAAGTAGCCTTCATAATTTTATCCTTGCCGCACTCACATGCTTTTGTTGAGCGCGGTTTTTCCGTAACGAATTCAAAAAAAACTAAGATTCGAAATAGGATGAGGTTGGAAAGCCTTAATTCAATAGTTCGAATAAAGTGTTATTTGAAGGCTAATAGTTTCTGCTGCAAAACGTTTCTAATATCAAAAGTATGTTATCAAGGTTCAATAGCTCAATATATGACAACAGAAATGTAAATGATTCATACACTTATAGGTGATTTTGAAAAAATTGTAGAAATAGCTGATCACGCCTTTTTATAGGTTTTTATTTTATTTTTAACGCCGAGCGCTTAAAGGTGGATTGTGCGATTAATCAATTAATATGAGTTATAATAAGGGTATTCATCAAACCTTATAAATGCATTGTAAACCGTATAAACTTATAATTGTATAAACCTTATAAACGAACTGTCAAAATTTGTATGGAAACTCGTTTCTCCAGCGATTTCACTGAATAAACTTGATAAACTGAAGCCAATGCAACTCTGTCGCAACTCAAGCTATGTTTTCTTGGGCAATAATCGGGATCCGCATATAAATTTTGCACACCGATATGATCCTGATAGAGATCTGGTTCAATTATTATCCGTTCTGTTTGTTTTGTTTCACTGATAATTGGTATTGGACCAAACAAATTTTTTTAAGAGATTGAGTCATAAGTAACAAAGTAATTTCTCCGTTTTTCGAAGTTAGCCTCCGAAATCGAGATATGGGCCTTCGAAGTTCGAAATTTGACCTTTGGTAAAAAATTATTTTTAATTACTGTATGTAAACTACTAAAAAAAAGTAAAAACATAGTCGTGGTACGCCTTTTTCTCTTATTTAAACGATATGTAACTTTTTCTATGTTACAGGTGCTATAAAGGGGTTAAAGGTTCGAAAAATTAAAGACCTTATTTTTCAAACAAGTACCTTAACAAGAAAGAAAACAGAGGATACGAATTCAGAATTCAGGCAACGTTGCAATTTGTAAATTAATTTTATAGTGTTCAGGAAAAATATACTGCGGAAGATTTACTGGACTTTGCGCGTGGACGACGGTGTGGGTCTCTCCCTCGCCAATGTCGTACGGATGGACAGAAACGCTCCAGCCCTGAAAATATACAACGCGGATCGCGATGTTGCAGAGCAAAACCTCGTGTTTGATTTCAATTGGCATTTCCAATTGGCGTCAGTTGGTACAGACAAGAAACGACTGGCGTGCTTTGTTGGACTCTGCCAGAATCGCTTCCGGGGTTACAGAAGAAGACAAGAAGAAACTCTTTACATACCTGAACTATGTTCTTCCTTGCTGCTATTGCGATAGTTAGAGGATACTACAGCTACTGGTCCTTCTTCTGGACCCAAATCTAGACTTCTTGCGTTACTTGCAGTTAAGTCAGTCGCTCGCTCAGTCATTATTGCCGGTGATTGCTGTTCTTCACTACATGCGTTTATTGTGTGATGATGGTTGGGGAGGGATGATGCACAGCTCAGACTATGTCCTTGCAAAAGCGCTGAAGTAGCCAATATTTGTTGTTGCTGATGTTGCTGCTGCATTACTGCCACCATGGCCGCATTGACACCATTGTACGCAAAAGTTGGAAACACTGGTGGTGAGAGTCGAGCAGAGGGTGATGTCCCAGCTGAAGAGAGATGCAAAGGCAGCGACGCGCTACTGTAATTTGACCACATTTGCGGAGAATGCCGCAGTGCAGCCAACGCGAAATATGGATTCATATAGGCGGGGGACATTACTGATGGAATGTACGACGCGGCTGCGGCTGCCGCCGCTGCTGCAGCAGCAGCAGCAGCATTAGTTGTTCCGCCATGACCAACTGGTATAACTGTGTTCGGTGAAACAGCAGAACTATGAGGAGATGGAGTAGACGTGCCATTCGGGGCCGCCGGTGGATACATGTAGTAANGCTGCAGCAGCAGCAGCAGCATTAGTTGTTCCGCCATGACCAACTGGTATGACTGTGTTCGGTGAAACAGCAGAACTATGAGGAGATGGAGTAGACGTGCCATTCGGGGCCGCCGGTGGATACATGTAGTAGTGATGAAGTGCTGAAGGAACTATATTGCCACTTGGCGATCCACGTTGTAATTGATGGGATCCGCCGCCGCAAGCACTCCCACCCGAGACAGGAGTTCTTCGGTCCTGTGTTGAATATACATCATCAGAATGACGCTCCCCTGGCGAAGGACTGCCACTACTTGCCGCAGCGGTTGTGGGTGAAGCAAATTGCCTACGTATAGATACAGTCTTTTTTGGTACAGTTCTTGGCGTAGCATCGCGTGATAATTCAGCCCCTATCCGCGATGGTGTCGGTGAGTTTTCTCGACTGTTGCCAATTGAACTTGATGTTGAATGATGGTTAATTGGAATGTTCGTAGAATTTAATGCTGGCGAAGATGCTCTACTGAAAGCTGATGAGTGACGCGGTGAACGTGGATTGCCAGGACTGCTGGCTGTCGATATGGATGCATTTTTTGTGTTGGCGGAACAGCTCGCCGAAGGTACATATTTTGCTAATGACATGTACGGCATGTAGAAGCCCTGATTTTGTGAATGTAGATTTGAGTGACCGACTGAATGTGCGGTAGATGCATAATCCAGGGCACCATCATGTTCAGAGGCCTGGCGAGATTTATTAACCAATGCTCCAATATCGCTAGCGCCATACGCATCACGTAGAGGTGAGGTATACGGCGGTGAACGTTGTTTTGTACCCGAAGTGGAGGGAGATTTCCCGCCCCCACTGAGATTGCATTGTTCTGGCGACTGCGGTGAGGCGAGCATTGAACGCAAATATGATGGATCGCCATACTGCTGTTGCGGTGAAAGATGTTTATGCTGTGGATGATAACCTATGCTGCTAATGATAGCTGAGTCGTTCATTCTTTTGTTGCTATTCGTGGTTGACGTCCCTTTAGCTGATACTGATGAACTACTACCACCACTGCCTCCCAATAAGGAATGTATGCTATATGAGCTATACAATCTGGTAGGCGCGGCTCTCGTTATTGTCTGAGTTGTTTCAGATTTGGAATATACAGTAGCTGAGGGGCGAATACCACCATTATCATTGGAACTGCGTGTATTTATAACGGATGAGCAGCTAGTGTTGCAATTATTGCGATTACAGGGCGATTTTATAGTACGGTACGAAGACACTAATGAAGAAGACACACTACTTTTCGCCCGACTTCGCTTCCCTCCTGCCACATTAGCATTGTCTTCTAAGGAGACTTTTTCAAATTCGCGCAGGATTCGCTTCCGCGGTGATACGTGCTGATGTGGGTACTCTACTAGTCGTGTTGCTGCTGATGTGTTAGGTGGTGAGGCCTAAATTAACAACGGGAGGTATAATACGATTTTAAAATCTGACTACTCACTTACCTTATGGGAAACTGAATTTTTGGCACCGCCAAAACTGCTTGCACCTGCAATCGATTGTGGGGTCTTAGACAGTTGAGCTAGACGTTCGGGCACCCTGTCGATCAATTTTTGTACAATTGCATTCAACTTTAGACGAAATTTAGGAATCTTAGGCTTTTTCTCATCTGAACGACGACAGTTTGTGTAAATATTTTTATCAACATCATCTACTTCAACTGTTTGGGACAGGTCCGTCACGTCGCTACCATTATGGGTCACTTCTGACTCTAAGTCCTCTCGTTTAATTATCATAGATATCGAGTCCTCATCTTCACTAGTATTCATTTTTTCTGAATTGTCTAACTTAGCATCTTCTTTTGAGCAACTAGTTTTGGTGTCTGTTGATTCGTCTTTTACCAATGATTGTTCGTCCTCAGATGAGAGTTGCGGTTTTGAGGTTGATGAAGGCGTAGGGGTCTTAGCCTCCATCTGGCATTCGGTACAATCATCCCCTGTTAATGTCGCTGTAGATGAAGTTGAGCAGCCATCTTCATCATTTATTAATCCAGTTTCGGTTTCGCCATTCCCTGTTTTACTTTCACAAACAATTTCTGTTTTGACTTCCATATTTGTTGTTTCTGTAGTACACTGGCTGCTCGATTGTAAAGTTTGTGAAGTTTCATCGTCTGTACAGCATGGCTGGTTGTTTGATTTTTTCTGGCTTTTTACGAGAAAGAAATCACCAGCGCAGAAAATCGTGTCGTATGGCCGTCGACATTTTCTCCGGGCGATAGTTAGCGCTTGTCTGCTTAAAACAGCATACTTAGGCCGAAAATAGTACAGAGACATGGCTTTTGATATGCCATTTCGAGGAGATAATTGCTTCCAACAATGATCTCGTTGCCATGGTGATGACTGAATTGAACTATTGTCATCAGAAACTGAAATATTGAGCAAATAACATTGATTTTTTTTTTTTATTATTTAACCGATTTGCACTTACAGCTTAACGAAGTTGAGCTTTCATTCTTAGAGTATGCTATTGAGCTTGCCAATGTGGGTGTTACTGTCGATGAACTTGCTGATGGTGCCCGAAACAACTTGCGTGGAACCGAAATCCAACGACTTTTTTCACCTTCCTTTGAACGCGCCAACTCCAATATTACTTTTCCATCTATAAGCGAAAGCAAAAAATTAGAACAATATTTTCCTAATACCATGTTCTGACCGCCAACGAAAACACTTTGAAAACGTGTTTTGGGATTGTGGGCTGAAGGCTGTTCACACCGGCTGTTAGTGTTTTCGTTGACATTTCTTACATCCTCTGATTACAGTTTTGCTACACAAAAACAAAACCAAAATGCTTTTCCCTCATTTTCTTTTCATTAGCAATCTCTTACTTTCATTCTTATTTTACTTTTGCCAGCCAATTAACAATAAATCCGAAATGGCATATTAAAGATGATAAAATATGACTTCCACTTCGATAAATAATCGAAAAAAAGTGACGTCACCGATTGGAATGAGTGGATCGTGAGTTTTCAAGTAGTTTTCAGCGAAAAGTGGTTTTTGTTTGACAGATTTTACATGGACGAAAACTCAAGTTTTAAGTCGAAAACCAGTTTTAGCAACGAAAACATGTTTTCGATGTCGGTCAGAACATGGTATAAGCTAGGCTCATTAATGTATCTACATTTCATACTCCCATTTTTTTTTTAANTAAGCTAGGCTCATTAATGTATCTACATTTCATACTCCCATTTTTTTTTTTTTTTTCATTTTTTAAAATTAAAGTTTTAAGTTTTTGCTTCATGGATCTTGATCTTAGTGTTTTGTTCGATAACATTTTGAATATATGGAGAAGTAAGAGAAAGTTGCTAAAGAAATCAATTGATTGAAAAAGTAGTTGCAATTAAATTAATTGCAATTAAACTTTTAATTGCGCATTGCAATTAAAATTTCATTTGTTAGTGTGGCTTTTTTTTGCTTTTACGCGGTCCTTTCACCCCTCTTATTAAGAGCAACCTTTCTTTCGATCAATACGTCCATCGACTTCATTTAACAACCCGGAAGCCTTTTTTATCAAATACCAATCAGATTGCTTTTGACATATTTTAATTACATTCTTTCGCAATTCCAATTTCTCTTCGCAATTAAATTATATCGCCTTTGAGCGATAAATAAGGACATTTTTTCACATGCAATAAAATAGTGTGTACAACACCTAAGCAAATTTTAAAGGTCAAAGTATCTGCTTTTAAATATTGTTGGTGGCTTTGCGGGGTGGCCACAAACCCGTCTTCTGAAAAATAGCAGTTTTTGAGATGTGACAGCCTTCTGATAAATGAGCGAAGCTAGTATTCAACTTACAAGAAATATGTATTTTATATTTTTTCAAATAACAGTAAGCAAAAAAAAAAAACAAATTCGAAAATCTGATTGCCAAATGTGAGAATTTGAGAGCTGGTTTAAGAAATTGTGATAGAAACAAATTTCTTTTACACTTCTTGACCGTTTGTTTATGAATCTACATACATATGTATGTACATACACATACACAAATTTTGTTTTCCTTGAGAGCTGGTGCTAAGCTCCCTGCAAACCATTTTTTCAGAGTATTCTGAATCGTAAAGAGTTTTTAAAGAATTCGGAAAGATCCCATCCGATTTTTTGCAGAATTTTCTAAAATGAAATAAATTGCGCACACTTCCATTCTTTTACGAAATTTCGGAAGAAAAGCGGTAAAGAAATGAAAATAATGCTGCTATATGAAGAATTTCTTGCAGACTTTTTTCAGAATTTTCTTTATTTTTCGTACAGAAATTTCTTTACGAGTTCGTGTCAACCACTTCATATAATTTTCTTTGAAGATTCGGAAAAAAATCGTTACAGAAATCAGATACTCCTAAAGATTTCGTTAAGATTTCGGGAACTTTGGTTTGCAGGGCTTTTTCATACACACAGTGACTCAAACAAATGACCACGTGTTGATTTCTCTTAAATATTCGTAATGTTTTTTGGTTATTTTTCTATAAAAATACCGTCCAATTTTTCACAAAAACCATATACATCGCCGTTTGAAGCTTTATACAAAATTAAGGAAAATTCAATAAATTTTCAACTTTTTAATCTGAATTTTTAGCCTAATGAAGTGCAAGTTTCAACGGGTTAAAAAATCGCGTTGATTTTTGAGAATTTTTTTATATTACTTTTTCGGGGGTTTTTATAACAAATGCAATTTACTAAAACTGGCGTTGAGTTTTTAAAATTTTCTTGCTAACGGTTTTGCACGTTTTATTTCATTAGAAATTCATGCTTTTATGGAAAAAAATGCAAAAAAATCGTCACAAAAAAAATCCCAAAAATTAACCGGATTTTTTAGCTGTTTGAAACTTGCACTTCATTAGACTAAAATTGTATGGGCTATAAAACTGCATACCCAAAAAGGTTCTAAAAAGTGGACATTTTGATAAAAATTCGTTGAATTTTCTTAAATTTTATACAAAGTTTAAAACTGTGATTTATATGGTTTTGGTTAAGGCTTGGACGGTATTTTTATAGAAAAATAAGAACCAAAATTAGCTCGAAAAACATTACGAATATTTAAAAAAAATCAACACGTGGTCATTTGTTTGAGTTACTGTATATGACGGGGATGTAAACTGTAACAACTTTGTGGCTCTTTTTGAATTTTCCTAAAAAGATAAATCGTGGTATAAAGCTCAATAACACTTGAAATAGATATTAATACACCACAATAACAATAAGCAAGATACACTAACAACTTTTAGTTTATACTCTGTTATATGTAGAATGTTTGTGAAGTGAAGGAATTATTAAACATTTTCTTGGCTTTTACTTACTTTTGAAAAACTGCAAACGACCACCAATACAGCCACCAATATTTCCACCGCTCAAAGAGGAATGATTCCGTTCCTTTTCATTGCTGCTATTGCTGCCATTGATCTTACCACAAACCTTTTCAGTTTTGCAGTCTTCGTTATGCGCGTCATTTCTGTCAATCAACTCCACTGAAGACGTTGCATTCATTGTATAATCGATGACGCCACTTTCAGTGACTTTAATATCACTATCAACAATACCGCTCACTAAGTGAGACGATAAGGGAGTTGCGCAGCCAGAACTCAAAGCAGCAGTAGCGGCCATTTCTTTATCGGTATCTTGTTGCAATGCAGATTTGTTTGAAGATATTGCCGATGTTGAAACGAATGCCAGCGGTGGAGCATTTGGCGATGGGGTAAAAACAATCTGAGGTTCTGTCTGCGGGAGTTCTTTAAGGTTTGTCGCTGTTGTGTTACTAACAGCACCATTTCTCGCAGTACACCTATTTGTCGGCGACGCCGCCACTAAATCTTCAATAGCTTCCTTCTGATCTAATGTATATAAGCTCGTATGAGCTGCAGGTGGGAGCTGAAGGTGGGGAAAGCTTTGGTTACTTGTTTCTAACGGAAGTGAACTTGCATGTACCGTCGTTGTTGGTGAATTTTTTGGCGCCCTCGCTTTTGCATTATTACCGTTCACGCTATTTTTGCATATTTTGGCAGCTTCTTCAATGATGTGCTCATTATTTATTGGATCAAATTGAATTTGTTGATGATTTCGTATGTTGTTTCTGAGATTATTATTTTCATTCAGAGCGGTTTCTTCACTGTGACTACTAAAGCAAATTTTATTGTTGGAGTTACCACGCTCATCTGTCATTTTTGAATTCAAGTACTTTGTTGCAGCATCTTTATTAAGTGCATGTTTGAAATTACCTCTTCTCTATATCTGAATAATCTAACAAATAAACGACAGCTCTGAAACGTTCTTGGTGCTTTCGCGTTTCCTTGAGGTTATGCCTTTCGCCCTTAATCGTTGTAATTGTCATCACAGGCGCCTAGCCTAAGGCTAATAGTTTTTTTTTTTTTTTTACAATAGCCAAGCAAAGGACTTTATCATATACATATGTATGTATGTAGAAACTTCCACCAACATGCATACATCCGTATGCACCTATGTACATATGTATGCGTTTACTTACAAGATGATTATTTATTGTTCGTGTAGGCGATTTTGTCCCGTCAAATGTTTGTTTTTGTTTTTTTTTTGCACATTTAGCTCATTTGATTCACATTTCTCCACAATAAATACTTTTATCCAGTGATTCAGTGAATAATTTTCNTTTTGCACATTTAGCTCATTTGATTCACATTTCTCCACAATAAATACTTTCATCCAGTGATGCGCCTACTGATGAATAAAGCGATTCCTCTACTGGAACTCTTGTTTCTGCAATATATTAATAGTTTATTTGGTGGTTTCATTAATCTTTACAACTACAAAAATATATTTGAGATATCACCCCAATACATACACACACACACGCACACAAATATTTCATACAAATCCATACATAGATACGCTGTTTCTTTTCTTTGAAATTGTTGCTTCAATAATTAACTTAGTATGAACATACATGGTACATACTATGCACCCAACTATTGCTCTTTTATACCACTTTAAATTGACATTTGCGCAGAACTGACACTCTGGTCATGTTGGTTGAATCGAGATTAAACTCTCAATGAACTCAACTGACAACGCTTGCGTGTGTAAGTGTGCTCCTCTCTTAAGAGTACAAGTGCAATACAAATGCTACCCAATTCCCCAAACGACTTCGCAACGACGTCGCTTCCGACTCGTTTTGGTGAACAATTTGTTCGCCGGCGACGTTCGCAAACGACTTGCCGGCGAACTCGCCGTCGGATGTAAAGCAGAAACGACTCGCGGGCGGGCCGCATAAACGATATAGCAGCGAACTGCAAAACGATGCTCAAAAGTGCAGACAATACTACAAAATTAAAAACAAATTTTTGATGTAAAATAGTTTAATTTAATACAATTGATTTTTTTAATACTTTTTCAATGTACACACTTAAATATTAATTATTTAAAAACAAAAATAAGGGAAATATTAATTATTTAAAAACAAAAATAAGTGAAATATTCAGTTATTTATAAAATACAAACTAACCTTAATACATTACTAACTTATAATTTTGTAATTTATTTTTTTTTTTGCTACTTCATTTTAGTTATCTTTATAAAAATTGGGTTTATTTTTTAACAAGGACCATGTAGTTCAAAATTCATTCAATGTGCAATATACATATGTACATATAGTCGATGTTTTCCAAAACCGCCCATCGGCCAATTGCAAAACCGCCTATCTTATGTCACTCAAATTTTACAGGAGAGCGAAAAAACGATTTTCCTTTGAAGTCATTGACTTGAAAGGCGGTATTTTCTCCGGCTATTATTTTACAAATCTGTTGTTTTAAAAGCGCGCTTACGATTTGTATGCATATATTTCTATGCGTGGAGTTCAAGGTTACCAAATCTCATTTAGGCGGTTTTGCAAAAACATCGACGATATATATGTACATATATATATAAAAAAATTTAACAAGCTTTCATCAAAATTTTATCTTTTTAATCTGCATTTAAGAAACACAGGAAGCAGTTTTATAGTCCATAAAATTTTAGTATAATAGAACACAGGTTTGAAGTAACACAAAACTCGCATTGATGAGAAAAAACGACGTCGGAACGACGTTGCATTTTGTTTCGGAAAACACCTTCGTTTCGACGTCGTTTCGCGTTCCCCCAAACGACTTCAGCACAAGAGCGATTCGAACTCGTCTTCGCCCTGTGGCAAATTGGGTATCGTCACTACCACGGTATGACAGCAACTTGTTTCGTTTCTCTTGTTTATGTGGCCCGCGACATGCCAATATTGCTCTAATTATTTGGTAGTGTTGAGCGAAATGTTTTCAACGCCGTGCCCCAGCGCCAGTCGGTTGAGATCTCAAGAATTCATGCGGCAATGCCACACTAGTTCATTCACATCCGAGAGCGGCTTATGCGCTCTAACGCGGCAATCCCCAAAAACCGCTGCCGACCCCTCTTTTTCCGCGACATCATCCAACTGCTCGCAACACATCCGATCCAACTTAACGCATTGCCAGCATAGATGATTAACTAAGTGACAGACTATTTGAATGCAAAACCTCCACGGACAGATCGAGGCAACTATGACCAACGTGCGTCAGACAGTTCGGCGGTGCAGCAGTAAGGTTTTAAAAGGCTAACAGAAATGCAAGTTAAGGCGATTCAACCATATAACGAAGGGGAGTTAAACTCAATACTCAACTCTCCGCAACTGCCATTTTGTTTTATGACTTAGTATATGTTTGTATGTAAGTATGAAGTAAGCTCATGTTATTTGTAGAAATTGTAGTTGTTGATGTTGTTGGCGTCATCGCTACCGTTTGCTATATTCAGCACTTGCTGGCACTATAGCTTCAGCAGTTATTGCAATTGTTGGAGCAGAGTCTATTGTTGATTCTGCCAGAGCAACTATTGCTAATTACCCATTGCACTTCGGCACAGTAGCGCTATATGTATAAACGTACATTAGAGTGGCGCTTGATCCCATACACAAAATTTGTTTAGTTTTTTGAGGTGCTGCCCCTGAAATAGTTGCATATATTCATAAAATATTTCTCATATAATATTGACCCAATTGACCCAGATTAACCCGTGCCACTAACGAGTTGAAATAATCAATAGCAGAGGCCAATAAAAATGGAAAAACATTTTGGTACGGCAAATGTTAAAGCTATTTTTGATAGACTTTTTTATGCTGATTACGAATCCGTAGCATAAAGTTTCCATCAGCTACAGACTTGGAGAAAACCCAAGGTGGCGCCAGGGTCGAGATATGTATTTTAAAAAACCGTATTTATGTTCTGATTTGTTTCACATTTGGCATGTTTAGTTGAAACGTAATAATACATATCGCTAGCTTAGAAAGAAAAGTTGCTAAGTCCCATTTTAAAAATTTTAAAGGAGAGGAAAAAATGTTCCTATAGCCATTTTCTTTAACTATTTCGCAAGACTTTGAATCAAACATTTTGCGCGTTTAAAGCAAAGCAAAACTCCATAAGAATCAGAAGGATTCGATATTTATTAAAAGATGTCGTATTATTTTGGCCTTATGGGATTTGTGGTGCTTCTTTTGGACTTAGCAAATTTTCCTTTTATTGCTTATGAAGAGGAAAAAATAAAACAAGTACCTTTATAATTTTCGAAACGATGCGTATTCAATTTCTCTAGCCTCCTATATCAAAATATGAGTTTTCATTAAAAGTGGACTTAGCAACTTTTCACTCTAAGCTAGCGATATATTATAATCGGTTTTTCATGACAGAAATACACTCGGAGGTTTGCCATTGCCTGCCGAGAGCCGGCCGCTGTTAAGGAAAAACATTTTTTCTATATTTTTTTTGCGATGTTGATTTGACCAGGGCTTGAACCCAGGCCCTGCGGAGTGGTAGCGTGCACTGCTAACCACTACACCACAGGGGTAATAAGACATAGATTTGCAACAAATGAAACTGCTGCTGGCGCTGATGTCAAAATAAAAAGTATATTCGTTGTAATCGAAGTCAAGATCCACTTCTGTTTTTTGTAACGTCACGCAAGCGCGTATGTTTACTAATGTCTTTAAACCGCTACTACCAACGGTGGTATTTTTTTTTTTTACAGATTAAGGAGACATTTAATTGCTAAGCCAGATTGGAAATACCAATATGTTAAAGAAGCAAAGTAAACCTATTTTCCATTTATTTTTGAATGATGGTGCCCAACCGAAATAATTTTGTCTTGCATCATGCTAAGTTTTTATATAATAGTGACCGTGCAAAGGCCGCTAATGGTTAAGGTGGCTAGCCAGAGGCAGCATTGACGCAAGTGATACTGTCGTTATCTCGACACGTTTGTGGGACGGGTTAGACTTGATTAATTGGTCCAAAATTTCTAGGGAATTACTTTTTCAATAAAGGTAACCATTTCAGGGGGTAGCACCCGCAAATATCCGATTTTCAAAAATAAGGGCCACTGTAATGTACATTCATGTAAACAAACTTACACATGTATGAATTAGGGTTGGAAGTTCTATCCGGACGATCCGGCTATTCGAATATTTGAATAAAAATCTGAGTATCCGGATTATGTACAATGTGCTGACATTCTGTTATCTGAATAGAATAACCGTATCTAAAAAATTAGCAATAAAATAATAATTTTTACGTAGTAATGAAGTCCTCTCATCCGAGGCTTTGCCTTGCTTCTTGGTGGAGAAGGACTTGACTTCACCTGGCGTTTCCAATTGGCGTCAGTTGGCACAGAGGAGAAACGACTGGCGTGCTTTGCTGAACTCGGCCAAAATCGCTTAGGCGGTTACAGCGCCAAAAAAAAGAAGAGAGTGAAGTCCTCTATTAATTATTTTAACACTCGATAGATTCAGTATTAAAAATTCAGATTAAAACAAGTAAGAAAGTGTAAGTTCGGGCGGAGCCGAACATTAAATACCCGGCGCAAGTATTAAATATATGTTTTTTCACCTTTTCGAAACCTCGCGCTAGATGTTAAGCCGGGGTGTATCAATCGTTTTGAGTAAATTACCGTCCTTAAATTTCGAAATATTGTAGTTTCAAGCATTTCTGAACTTTACCGTTATATGAAAAGCGGCCGTAATTTTAGTCCGATTTCAATCATTTCCAACGTTTTGCTTTTCTGTGGCAAGCACAATAAAAATACCGAGTGTGGTACAAATTGGTAGAACGATTACCGAAATACATATATGTGATCATAAGTGGGCGGTGCCACGCCCATTTTCCAAAATTTAACCATAAACGTATTTCTTAGTAAAGAATTGTTGCAAGCATGTATTTCTCTAAATTACCGTTATATGGGATGTGGGCGTGGTTACTGTCCGGTTTTAAAAGTTTTCGTCGATTTGGTATGCTGTACCAAGGCCAACAACTGTGCCAAGCTTGGAAGAAATTGGTGCAGCGGTTACCAAGATATACACATGTAACCGTAAGTGGGCGTGGCTACGCCTATTTTCCAAAAATTTATAATATTCCTATTTTTCGTCTGAAAATTATTATAAATATAAATTTTGAGTGAATTATCTTCAGTAGTTACTAAAATATCGCAGTTTTCGTATTACTGGAAATTATCGTTATATGGGAAGTGGGCGTGGCTACAGTCCGATTTCGCCCATTTTCAATACCCACCTACCTTGGATTAATGGAAACCTACACACCAAATTTCGTTGAGATATCTCAATTTTTGCTCGAGTTATCGCGTACACGGACGGACGGACAGACAGACATGGCTTAATCGACTTCTCTATTCATTCTAAGCATTTATGTATACAT